TCCTGATACCAAAACTTTATTAGAAATATTGTTGGTTGTTTAAAATCCCGACGAGCACGGAGACAGGCGTAAGACAAGGGGGAGAGAGAAGGAAGAGTTGGGGGAGGGGGTTCACCAAAATAAACCATAAATGATGAACAAGAATCTGCTTCTAGACCTGCAGAAAGAGAGAGAGAGGAAAGGGGACACACAAAAGTGTGCCTTCATTTTGAACGACTTAGCTCTTTTTCCACCAGGCTAGACCCACTTCTGGGGGATGGGCCACCGACGCTGTGAAGTCGGTTAGACGTGAACGTCGAAGAGCAGAAAGGAAAAGGACAAGTTTACTGTGGAGTGCTTCAGAGACGAGTTGGTGTGCTAACGAGGCGGTAAAAGAAGCTTTGGGTGACCAGCGTGTTCTCTGAACTTGGCTCTTGATCTTGTTGCTTTTAACAGTTTCCAGCCTTTAGCAGGGTTTGTCATTATCATCTGGAGGAGATAAACTAATGATTCTCCTGCTCGTCCGTGTCAGGCTCTTCACATCATGTTAAACCAGCCGTCTGTGCCACCCATCTGTAGAGGTCTGGCTTCTTATTGGTTCCACATGCATTTAAAGGGGCGGTTCACTCGTTTAACGAGTACATTCCTGGTAGGAATGAAGGGCTCTCTGGGTCAGTGCAGCTCCTGTAACCATCGCTCCCATCCTTATGGGGCAGCAGTAGCTCAGCAGCTTGAGCGGGTTGTCCAGTAATCGGAAGTTTGCAGGTTCGATCCCGGCTCCGGACAGAGAATTCTGCTGTTGTGTCCTTGGGCAAGACACTTAACCCACCTTGCCTGCTGGTGGTGGTCGGAGGGACCGGTGGCGCCTGTGCTCGGCAGCCTTGCCTCTGTCAGTGCGCCTCAGGGCACATCAGTGTGTGAATGTGTGTGAATGGATGAATGATACACTGTAGTGTAAAGCGCTTTGGAGTCCTTCCTCTGAGAGGCGCTATGCAAGTGTGGGTCATTTATCATATCCTGTCTAGACTGGACCCTTCAGGCTGAGCACGCTACTCCAGCTAGCCTTGGACTGGTTTCCAGTCAAATACCGATTCGGTTTCACTGACTCACCATCGGGATCAGCGCCACCGTGTTTGTCCTCACTTGAACTCGCTCTGTTCAGCGTGACCTCGGCCAGAAGTAAAGCCTGATTTATTGCAATACTAATGCAGAGTGGAGCTCTCTTTTCTGTCAAAACGAGAAATGCAAACCTGCGATTTCCTTAGGTGTGTTCTTGCGGTGTCTTGGTTCTAATTCCATGCTGCCGTTCTTTTTTTTAAACCACAGAAATGGTTTTGTTACCTGATTTCCCGCTACGTTTCGTTTGCGGCTGGAAACTTCTTCAGGCTGACGCTGATGGTGGCGCGTCACTTCCTTCTCCGTTTATCCGCGGGCAGCAGAGGACGTTGTCGCCCTCTACTGCCCGCTCCCCCTCTCCGATGATGCAGTCCCATGCACGATCCAGCGTGTAAACTCCGTCGTCTCTGTTCATGGTCCCACATCCACGTCTCCTTATCTCGATAGCTTCCTTGATCCATCTTTTGTATTTTTGTTGTTCGGTGTTTATGATCCGTGTGCTGTCCCAGTCCATTATATGGTTTTCTCTTAAGCAGTGATCTGTTACGGCTGACTTCTTTATTGTACTTTCTGCTTCTTCTTTTGCTGCTCTTGTGTGTTTTCGACTTGTTTCTTTCTTGCACTCCTTTCTATGTTCTATTGTCCGTGTGTTGAGTTGGCGTCCGGTTTCTCCTATGTATGTTTTATTGCAGAGTTTGCATGGGATTTCGTAGACGACTCCACATTTAAGTCCAGCTGATATTTTGTCTTTTGGGTGTACTAATCTGTTTCTAACTGTTGTGTATGGTTTTGTTGGTGTGTTTATGTTGTGTTTTTTCATTGTTGCTCTTATTTTTTCTGTTATGCCTCTGATGTATGGTAGGGTTATCACTGGTTCTGGTTCTCGTCTTTCTGGGTTTCTGGTTCTTTGCTTTGGTTGTTCTTTGCTTTCTGTTTTTGTTTGTTGTTTTCCTTTGTTTATTGCCCATGTCGGGTATCCGCAGGTCTTTAAAGTGTGTTGTATGTGTTTGTCCTCTTGTTTACGGTCTCTCTCTTCTGTTACCATGTTTGCTCTAGTTTATTATATTTTATTCTACTTTATTCTATTTTTAATTATATTATTCATGTTATATGTAGCACGTTAGTACCGAAGCAAGTTCCTAGTTTGTGAATTGTTTATTCACTGACAATGGCAATAAACCTTTTTCTGATTCTGATTCTGATATAATGTTCTGATTACTGACATTTTGTGTATGGTGGGGTGTCATGTGACGTCACATCCCTGTTCACAACAACACCAACCCAAAAAACCATAGACATAGTAGTTAACAGAATCAGACAGGACAAGACTTTACAAAAAAGGACAAACCTCACAGCAGATGACATAGCACAACTGATAGGACTGGTAGCTAACTCCACTTACTTCACATACGACAACACAATATACAAACAACTGGAAGGCTTCGCCATGGGTAACCCGTTATCAGCCACCCTGTGCCAGTTTTCATGGAAGACGTGGAACAAAAAGCCATAGCCACCGCCCCCCCCAAACTGCAAAATAAAACTATGGAAACGCTACGTAGACGACATACTGGAAATCATACCAACAGGACAAACAGAAACACTAACACAACACTTGAATAACATGGACGACACGGGCAGCATAAAGTTCACTTATGAGTCAGAAACAGAAGGCAGCATAGCATTTATGGACATGAAAATCACCAGGCAGACCGACGGGACCCTAAACATAAACACATACAGGAAACCAACACACACAGACCAATATCTATCATGGACATCAGAACACCCCACCATACTCAACATGTCAGTAATCAGAACATTATATCACCGAGCAAACATGATAACAGAAGAGAGAGACCGTAAACAAGAGGACAAACACATACAACACGCTTTAAAGACCTGCGCATACCCGACATGGGCAATAAACAAAGGAAAACAACAAACAACAACAATAGAAAAGAACAACCAAAGCAAAGAACCAGAAACCCAGAAAGACAAGAACCAGAACCAGTGATAACCCTACCATACATCAGAGGCATAACAGAAAAAATAAGAGCAACAATGAAAAAACACAACATAAACACACCAACAAAACCATACACAACAGTTAGAAACAGATTAGTACACCCAAAAGACAAAATATCAGCTGGACTTAAATGTGGAGTCGTTTACGAAATCCCATGCAAACTCTACAGTAAAACATACATAGGAGAAACCGGACGCCAACTCAACACACGAACAATAGAACATAGAAAGGAGTGTGAGAAAGAAACAAGTCGTAAACACACAAGAGCAGCAAAAGAAGAAGCAGAAAGTACAATAAAGAAGTCAGCCGTAACAGATCACTGCTTAAGAGAAAACCATGTAATGGACTGGGACAGCACACGGATCATAACCACCGAACAACAAAAATACAAAAGATGGATCAAGGAAGCAATCGAGATAAGGAGACGTGGATGTGGGACCATGAACAGGGACGACGGAGTTTACACGCTGGACCACGCATGGGACTGCATCGTCGGAGAGGGGAGAGCGGGCAGTAGAGGGCGACAACGTCCTCTGCTGCCCGCGGATAAACGGAGAAGGAAGTGACGCCACCATCGGCATCAGCCTGAGGAAGTTTGCAGCCGCAATCGAAACGTAGCGGGAAATCAGGTAACAAAACCGTTTCTGTTTTAAAAAAAGAACGACAGCATGAAACTTGCAATTGTTCAGATTGCTGCTGTCATCTACAGAGCCGCAAATGTGTGTTAAAAAGTCTCTTAGATACAAAAAAACAATAAAACTACATTAAAAACCATAAAAACACACTATCTGGACCGATACATGACAGGATTCCACAGATCAGCGCTACGCCCTCTGGTGTCCTGGCGGGGAATTGCTTTGCCCCCCAGGAGACGGAGAAGTCTGAGGACAAATTGTCTCCGTCCGTGCGTGGGTGTCTGTCCCTCGTGGAGCTGATGGGAAGTATAAATCAGGCTTCAGGCTAGGCGTGATCGTGCCTGTTCAGGCTCTAGGTTCTGGGACCAACATCCGGTTGGTGCTTCATTTCAGGTCCCTTTGCGAGTTTTAGTGTTTCATTACTTTAAGCATTTTACAATATTGTAGCTGTACTTGTGATACATGTGCGTTTGCACGGGTACAGCACCTTGGGCATCCTCGGCTGGTGGTGGGAGCCACTATGTGCTGTTGCTCAGCGTGCCACTGACACAGGATGTTATCCAGGTTTTTGAAACCAGTTCTAAACTGGAACCAGATCCCAGATCATGCTGGGACCAATCAGGAGGCATAACCGCTGCTGTGGGGCTCCAGTGCTGAACCGTAGCAGGCAGCTCTTTCAAACACATCATGACCTTCACCTTCTCACAGCCTGAAGCATGCTGCAGGCCTGCTCCTCTCTCACACACACACACACACACACACACACACACACACACACAGAGAGAGAGAGAGAGAGAGAGAGAGAGAGAGAGAGAGAGAGAGAGAGAGAGAGAGAGTCGTTAGTTCATCGCTTCCTTCCATTCTTTTTTTATTTTCTATTTTCTACCTCTCTCTGTTCCTCACCAAAGTGTGTGTGTGTGTGAAGCTGATGGATCATCTTCACACACACACACACACACACATTTTAATGAGTCTCAGGGACTCACTGTGGTTCAAAGGGAGACACACGCTGTGAAATGTTAATGTGTCGTCTCCTCACACAGCTCTTGGATCCGTTTATTTCTGTGTGAACACATGAACACACCCGTCGGTGTGTGTGTTTACCTGCAGCGTCTCTCAGCCGCCCCGTCTCATAATTGGACCCATTGGTGTCTCGTGTCCATGAAGACACGCGCCGAGCAGCAAGCCAAACACCTCCTGCATCATTCATGGCTCTCATACTGAACTGTTTGTTTTCACAGAGGTTCTTTGAGGGACAGTCTGCACCATGGGACTCGGCCAAGAAGGATGAGAACCGCATGAAGAACCGCTATGGAAACATCATCGCCTGTACGTACTGGTTTGAGCCGCCAGACCTGTTGGGAGGCTGGTTAAAGGCCCACATGTGGTCCAGGTGTTCCCAGTTGGGACTTCAGGTCCCACTGGATGGTAAATCTGCCCCTGTTCTCAGGCTGAGTCAGGGACGTGATGATCCAGAGACAAGGTCTATCAGGGGCTTAATCACTAAAAGCAGTTTTAGGTTTAGATCATCTAGTTACCATGGTGACAGGCTCCTGGACCCACAGGGTTGCACCTGCTCTCTGGACCAGGGCTGAAGCCCATCAGTGTGTTAGCAGCTCTTTAATTCAGAGGAAGTTGTTTATCTGACAGACCAGGTAACACTGTGTGTGTGTGTGTGTGTGTGTGTGTGTGTGTGCGTGCGTGCGTGCGTGCGTGCGTGCGTGCGTGTGTGTGTGTGTTAGACGATCACTCTCGTGTGCGTCTACAACCTCAGGAGGGAGATGGCGGTTCGGACTACATCAATGCAAACTATGTGGATGTGAGTACCAATGATGGTGTTTGTTTTTAATGGCGTCCATGATGTCATCATCTGGAACCAACCAAATGGTTTTTAAGTGTCTTAATGGTCTTGGGCCTTCTTATCTCTCAGAACTGCTTTTACCATATGAACCCTCGCGGCCTCTGCGCTCCTCTGGCAGGCGTCTCCTGGTCATCCCTAAAGTCAGGACACAAACTCACGGCGAGGCGTCCTTCCAGTGTTACGGCCCTCGCCTCTGGAACGAGCTGCCAGAGGACCTCAGGGCCGCAGAGAACGTTCATGTTTTTAAGTCAAGACTCAAGACCCGTCTTTTTAGGTTAGCTTTCATCTAAATATTTTCTACAGTTTTATTTCTCGTTTTACATGATTATATTTTATTACTTGCTTTGCATGTTCTATATGATTATATTTTAGCAGTTTTATTATTTAAATTATTATTTTACTGTCTATATCATTTTATTTATTACTTATTTTCTAATTTTTGTCATTTATATTAGCTCTTTTATTACATTTTTACTCATTTTAATCCAGTGTTTCCTCTGTGGGGGCCCTCTGCCCCGGGAGCGGTGGTCGACTGTAGCTTCCTGGGCGCTCTATAGGTGGGGGTCTATGCTCCCCCTCCAATGAGCGCCCTGACTTAGTGTGGAAGACCTGATGCTGCCGGGGCAGACGGCTCCTCTGATGGCGTTTCCTTGCGTTACCATACTTGGCTCATCTGGACTCAGCCTAATATAATTTTTACTTGTGTGTGTGTGTGTGTGTGTGTGTGTGTGTGTGTGTGTGTGTGTGTGTGTGTGCTTGCATATGTTTGTAAATGTTTTTAACCTGTTATGGGAATCTGGGGTCATTTTGTAAAGCACTTTGAATCACACTTTGTTTGAAGAGCGCTTTAGAAATCAAATTTGATTGATTGATTGATTGAACCAGCAATCAGAAGGCTTGGCAGTTCCAACCCAGCTCCCTCCAAGCGACTCTGTTATTGTGTTTCTGGGTCAGGGGACCCCAAAGCGCTTTACCCACTGGTGATGATGAGCTCATCACAGCACAGATGAGGGGGAGGACGTTTATGGCTGACACGGATGGAGCCTGACCAATGATGTTGTGTGTTACCAATGACCTCATGATGTTGATACCTGTGGTTTCTGTCTCCTTCAGGGCTACCACAGACCCAACCACTACATCGCTACACAAGGTGAGAAACCCTAACCACAACACACCTTTTGCATACACACAAGCATCATGGGACTTGTAGTTGAAAATCAGGAATTAATTCAATTCAGCTAACTGCAGTAACATGGTCTGGCCACTGGGGTTATCTCACACACACACACAGTCCAGGTATGATTCATCCATGTGTGTGTGTGTGTGTGTGTGTGTGTCAGGTCCCATGCAGGAGACAGTGTACGATTTCTGGAGGATGGTTTGGCAGGAGAACACAGCTGCCGTTGTCATGGTAACCAACCTTGTAGAGGTGGGACGGGTGAGCTATCTAGTTGTTTTTCCTTCCTGATGAAGTTTAGCACTCCATCTCCCACAATGCCTTTGTGCTGCTTGAGTCAGTCCAGATCACCAGTACTAATCAACCTCTTCACAAGCCCTGCCCACTTTAAATTGGTCTGTCTGTTACCATGGTTACCTGGTTGGCTGGAGAAATAACAGAAAGCTGAAGGTCATGAATCAGAATAAAACTACAGAGCCAGGAGAATTTTGGATGAGTTCTGACTGATAAACACATGCTGACCTGGTTCCTAAACCAGACCAAGAGCGTTTCTACCATCACTCATGGGACGTCCTACCTGAATGCTCTTTGACTGGGACACGGTCAAACTCCTTAGCCTTCGATGGAACACACACATACCTGGTGGTGGTCTGGTCCCAAGTTCCAGTACCCATAAGGCACTGGGCACCTCCTTCAGTCTTTCCCCGTCACACACGCACCCTAACCCTGACCTTATGGTGATGCCAATGTCAGCATGCTTAACTGTTTCAGTATCCTCCCTGTGTTTGTCTTTCATTAATGTGTGTGTGTGTGTGTGTGTGTGTGTGTGTGTGTGTGTGTGTGTGTGTGTGTGTGTGTGTGTGTCTGTGTCTGTGTCTGTGTCTGTGTGTGTGTGTGTGTGTGTGTGTCTGTGTGTGTGTGTGTGTGTGTGTGTGTGTGTGTGTGTGTGTGTGTGTGTGTGTGTGTGTGTGTGTGTGTGTGTGTGTGTGTGTGTGTGTGTGTGTGTAGGTAAAATGCTGTAAATACTGGCCTGATGACACAGACATTTATGGTGACATGAAGGTCACGCTGATCGAAACACAACTGCTGTCCGAATACGTGATCCGGACATTTGCTGTAGAAAAG